ATCCATGGTAAAGATGAGGTGTTGGGGACCGGGGAATTGGAAGTTCTGGAGGAGGTGGAGGGCGTGGGTGGTGTCACGGACATTGGTAGGGAGTTCCTGGACCAAGGGGGAGAAAATGGAGTCGAGATAGTTGGAGATCAGTTCGGTGGGGCAGGAGCAGGCGGAGACAATGGGTCGACCAGGGCATTCAGGTTTGTGGATTTTGGGAAGGAGATAGAAGCGGGCAGTGCGAGGTTGGGGAACGATGAGGTTGGAGGCCGTGGGTGGGAGGTCACCTGAGGTGATGAGGTTGTGGATGGTTTGCGAGATGATGGTTTGGTGCTCAGGGGTGGGGTCATGATCAAGGGGGCGGTAGGAGGAGGTGTCGGAGAGTTGGCGTCCGGCCTCGGCGATGTAGAGGTCAGTGCGCCATACTACAACTGCGCCTCCCTTGTCTGCGGGTTTTATGGTGAAGTTGGGATTGGAGCGGAGGGAGCGGAGGGCTGCACGTTCTGCGGGGGAGAGGTTGGAGTGGGTGAGAGGGGTGGAGAGGTTGAGACGATTGATGTCTCGACGGCAGTTGGAGATGAAGAGGTCGAGGGAGGGTAGGAGGCCTTGGGGTGGTGTCCAGGAGGAGGGGGTGTGTTGGAAGCGGGAGAAGGGGTCAGTAGAGGGAGGGTTAGGTTCACGGTTAAAGAAGTAAGCGTGGAGGCGGAGGCGGAGGCGGCGGAAAAACTGCTCTATGTCCAAGCGTGAGCGGTATTCGTTGATCTGTGGGTGGAGGGGGACAAAGGTGAGTCCTTTACTGAGGACTGACCGTTCGTCCTCAGTAAGGGGTAGGTCTGGGGGGATGGTGAAGACTCGGCAGGGCTGGGTGCTGCTGTCTCCTCTGGAGCTGCTGGCTGTGGAGGCTGTGGGTGGATCTTGCTGTCTCCCTTCAAAAGCAGCTCTGACCTCAAGGCACATTGGGGTGTACTGAGGTTGGGACAGGTGCTATGGAAATGCACATTTTTCTGTTTCCCAGTCTAGAGATCAATTTCACTAATTTCTAATCAGGTAGAACACATTTCTGTCTGCATTTTCTTTGTTGTTATTTTCAAGTTTAGGAGAAGAAGCTGGCTTTCTATGCACTCAGCTCAATCGGTGGGGTTTTGCAGTAATGATTGGTAAATAGCGCCAAGGCAAATTATACTGTTCTTTGATGCTGACAGACCCTATAATCAAGTTTATTGCTAAAAATCTGTAATTATCTTTCTGTCTTGCAGCGAACAAACATGGCTCTTTCAACTGTGGCTCTTTCTAATCCTTACTTCCTCTAGATTACAGTTCCTTCTTCAGACCTCCAGGTCAAACTTCTTTCACTTCTTCAAAGGATGGGGAAAGGAGTCGTTCCCTTGAACCTTCTTAGAGTGGTTACTGAGTTGTTTCTCTTTTCTCTCTCTCTTACTGTGGGTTTTTTTTCTATGAAACACTCACACACCTCAGCTGGTTATTTGTGACACCCCTCAGACCAACTGCGAACTTTGGCAATGGGTTATTTGACTGTGGAGTCCTCACCATCCCTTTGTATCCTGCCCTGAGCGCTAAACCTGCATTGTATCCCCATCTGTGTAAGTTGCACAGCCACTGGGAAGTTCCTGCATGTGAGCTTTCACTTTTGGAAGCTTGTACTGTGCACGGATCTCACAAGTTGGCGTGGAAAAAATAATTACAGGGAACCTTGACCCCACAGTTATTAGAATAGAGTTACAGAATCCCTACGGTATGGAAAGAGGCCGTTCAGCCCATTGAGTCCGCACCGACCCTATGAAGAACATCACACCCAGACCCAGCTCCCCCACCCTACAATTCTGCATTTAGCATCGCTAATCTACACATCCTTGAACACTACAGGATAATTTCCCATGGCCAATCCACCATAACCTGCAAACCTTTGGACTGTGGGAGGAAACCACGCAGACATGGGGAGAATGTGCAAACTCCACACAGACAGTCGCCCGAGGGTGGAGTTGAACCCGGGTCCCTGGTGCTAACCACTGAGCCCCTGTGTCTAGATTTCTAGATTCTTTACTTAAATCTATTCCTCTTTCCATTGTTATAGTTTCCATTGCCATTTATTTAGAGTCATAGGATTCTACAGTACAGGATGAGGCCCTTCGGCCCATCAGGTTTGTCCTGGTCAAAATTAAACTTCAGCTTAATCCCATTTTCTAGCAGTTGGCCATAGCCTTGTATGTCTTAGCATCCCAAGAGCACATCTAAACATTATGGTTACAAACGGTTTCCACCTCTCCCTCCCTCACAGGCAGTGAGCTCCAGATTCCCACCACACTTTGGATGAAAAAGCTTTTCCTTATATCCCTTCAAAACCTGTGTGTATGTGTGCATGCGCGTGTTTATGTGTGTGTTTGTGCGTGTGCGTGTGTTTGCATGCTTGTGTGTGTATGTCTGCATGTTTGTGTGTGTGTAGGTGCATATGTGTGTGTATGTGTGCGTGTGCATGTTTGTGTGTGTATGCACATGCTTTTGTGTGTGTGTGTACATGTGCATGCATATGCATGTGTGTATATATGCACACGTGTGTTTGTGTGGCAGTATGTGTATGTATGCACATGTGTTTGTGTGCGCATGTGCATGCATGTGCATGTATATGTGTGTATATGTGTGGGCGCGTGTTTGTGTGTGTATGTATGTGCACGCGTGTGTGTTTCTGTCTGTGTCTCTGAGTGTGTGTATGTGCACATGCGTGTTTGTGTGTATATGTGCTTGTGCATGTTTGTGTGTGTGTGTATGTGCTTGTGCGCATGTGTATGTGCACACGTATGTGTGTATGTGCACACACATGTTTGTGTATGTGCACACATGTTTGTGTGTTTATGTATGTGCATGTGCATGTGTTGTCTGTGTGTGTGTATGTGCTTGCACGTGTTTGTGCATGTATGTATGTGTTTGCAGCATGTGTTTGTGTGCATGTGTGCATGTGTGTTTGTGTGTGTGCATGTGCATGCGCACCTGTGTTTGTGTATGTGCGGGCACATTTGTGTGTGTGCATGTATGCATGTGTGTATGTGTGTGCGCATGTCTGTGTGTGTATTGCGCACATTTTTGTGTGTGTATGTGCACGTGTGTGTTTGTGTGTGTATGAGGGCATGTGTGTTTGTGTGTATGTGCGTGTGCACATGCGTTGGTGTGTGTATACGCATGTGTGTTCGTATGTGTATGTGTGTGCACGTGTGTGTATGTGTGCATGTATTTGTGTATGTGAGCGCACGTGCACATTTATGTATATGTGCATGCACGTGTTTGTGTGTGTATGTGTGCATGTGTGTGTATATGTGCGCGTGTGTTTGTGTGTGTGTATGTGTGTGCGTGTGTGTATATGTGCGTATGTGTATATCCGCGTGTGTTTGTATGTGTATGTGTGCGCACGCATGTGTGTGTATTTTAATGTGCACGCATGTGTGTGTGTCTGTATTTCTAAGGGAGAGTTTATAAGGGAATTAGAGTTTTAGTTTGTTGTATTATATGGCATTGGTTTATAGCTGTTTACCTGGTCAAGTTACCTGTAATTAATAATAATTCTTGTACAGTACAGAAACCTGGTCCATGCTTTCTATCAACCTGGGTCTGAAAATTGGGTAAATTGAAGAACTGTGCGGACTTTAAAAAAAGTTATCATCTGGTACAATGCTGGAAATAGTGGGACTCAATGTACAGTAGGCTTACCCCAGTGGGTTGTAATACTTTTATTGAAGAAACCTGGTGTGAATTGATTTTGTCCTGGGTACGGTCAGTCAGGCAGATTTGACCTTTGGTGGCGTCACTGGGATTTTAGTCACAATTTCAGGGACACTGAGGCCTGATTTACACGCATTATTTCCAGCTACGTCATGGCTCTAATTTTGAATCAATGACACCTATTTCTGGGCGTGTCCCAAACACAGGAAGTTGCTTTTTGCCTCCATCTAGTCTACCTTATTATCATTTTAGGTGCTTCAATCAGATTGCCCTTCATGCACCTGAACTCAGCAGAATTGAAACTAAGCTTAGCTCACATGCCCTTTTCCCCCTTAGACTTTCATGAGATATAGGGGTTGCTGGCAAAATACGCATTTGTTACCCATCCCTAATTGCCCAGAGGGCAGTTAAGATTCAACTACGTTGCTGTGGGTCTGGAGTCACATGTAGGCCAGACGGGGTAAGGATGGCAGTTTCCTTCCCTAAAGGACATTGGTAAAACAGAAAGGTATGGAGCATTTAATTGAATGCTTTCAGTCCCAGTTCTGCTGCAAACCCTCCCCTCCAAAGTGTGACTTTTGTTTGAGTGAAGCGATTAGTTTGCAATTGAAATGGATTTTGTTTTTGGTGCAATTTTTGCCCACAGCCCTCCTTTACAAGTGAAACCTCACATCAATGCTCAGCGCCACAGGAAGCAGCTCAGCTGCGCTCAGGACTTTGAATGCACAAAAAAAAACCTGCCATCGAAAAATAAGCCGATTTCCGAGCAACAGGTTCTGACAGTGGGACTGGAATTCCACACATTGACAAAGCGGAGAGTCCCCGTTTTGACCCAGTGCAGGCCAGTCCTGTGTGAGTCCTGCTTTGAAACATTTTAGTGTGCGAATGTCCACAGGGAGAGGAGCTGTGCGAGTCTCCCCCACCCCCACACCCCCCCTCCACTTGGCCAACCCTCTGCTTTCAGCATTCTAGATTGTGGTTTTCCTGGAGCGCAGAAGAAATTGGCTTCGACTTTATTTGAACTATAGAGACGAGACACTGTGCTAGATACATCTCTCTCTACCTGCCAACTTATTAAGGCAGCTTTTACAAATGCAACAACGAAAACTTGGGACCTTCCACCAACCAAAGTTTGAACGTCGTTGAAAAAAGGTAACTCATGTCTCTGCAACTCCCCCCTCCCCCGCCAAAAACCAGCTCCCTCCCACTATCTCTCCACCCCCAGCTCTACCACTTCCCTACCAACCCACCACCCCCCTCCACCCATCATCTCCTGCAGTGCGCACGCACACACACACACACACGCACACACACACACACACACACACGCACACACACACGCTACTCCCAGAACAGCTCAATCGAAGGAGATTCCTTGCTGTTTTCTCATTTGAAGGTTTTGCTGTCAGTCTCTGACCAGCGGGACTCCAGTCAGGGGGGATGGAGGCTGTGGCCAAGTACGAGTTCAACGGAGCTGGAGAGGATGAGCTGAGCTTCAAGAAAGACGACATCCTTAAGGTAACTCGGAGATCGTAAGACCTACAGATGCTGGAGTCAGAGATAGCACAGCATGGGAGCTGGAGGGACACGGCAGGCCAGGCAGCAGCCGTGTTCCTCCAGCTCCCTCACTGTGTTCCTCCAGCTCCCTCACTGTGTTCCTCCAGCTCCCTCACTGTCTTCCTCCAGCTCCCTTACTGTGTTCCTCCAGCTCCGTCACTGTGTTCCTCCAGCTCCCTCACTGTCTTCCTCCAGCTCCCTCACTGTCTTCCTCCAGCTCCCTCACTGTGTTCCTTCAGCTCCCACACTATGTTCCTCCAGCTCCCTCACTGTGTTATCCTTAAGGTGAAGGCGAATTTTTGTCTTTGTCGGTAGAGCTGACTTCTCTGACATCCTGCCTGTGGTCGCAGAGCTGGCCAAAAAAATAAATAACCAAACTTCTCAAACCAGGCCATCCAGTCACAGTGAAAAACCTGAGGAGAACCTAGGATTGGTGTTTTCTGTCAACTTGATAATCCCAGTTGTCCCCACCAACCACTTATTCATAGGTTCGGGGAAAGGCATCAAAATGAAAATGCGAGCAGGTTTTTGAGTTGGGGATCTTTAATCTGAAAGACCCGCTGCCTATTTGTGGCAATGTATTTTGTCTCCCCCTACTCCCCCTGCTGTTTCCATTGACTGGGATACGATTTGAAGATCTGTGAGAGGCCCCCACCCCAGCGTTATTCAGGACACTGTGGAGGTGGAGTGTTGGGAGGTTTTGATGATGAAAATTTCTCATTTCTCATTGTTGTGCCCATACACCCTATAAACGTGGGTCTTCTTGAGAGAGACGGGGGTGGGGTGGTGGAGGTTGCTTGATGCACAACATGATTCAAAATCTCTGGTACCACTCAGGAAAAAGTGGATACTTCAGGAAGGCTTGGGAAGGCTGCTAAGGTCCATGAGATAGAACTCTGAGGCTCCAAAGATGCACAGGTTAGGGTGGATTGGCCGTGGTAAGTTGACCCATAGTTGTGCAGCTTGGGTGGGTCAGCCACAGTAATTGCAGGGTTATGGGGATAGGGTTGGGGGTTGGGGGGCTAGGTCTGGGTGGGATGTTCTTTGGAGGGTTGGTGCAGGCTTTGATGGGCCAATAGGCCTCTTTCCACCTTTGAGGGTTTCTGTGATTCAACAATTCAAGTGAACACAAGAAGCATGATATTTCCCAACGTAGTTATTTTGTTGACATGTTCAGCTGCCTCTTTGTGTTAATTGCCACTTAAAATGATCATCATTTTCCAAAAAAGGCAGAAACAAAAATCTGTAGTTGTATAAAACTTAAGGAAATCTTCGCAAGGTAACAATCCTGCTGCCTGAGGCCAAGGTCTCCTGCTAAAAATCCACGGCAGGGTGACAGCCGTTATCCCCGTCAGGGAAACACAGGGAATGTAGAGAGGAAATGCACACCCCAGCGTTGTCTTGCTCTGTTTCTCTCTGAGCACAGACCCCAGCCTGTGCTGCTCCCCTCACAGAGAAACCCACTCCCCATGAACAATCAAAATCAACTTTCTCTCGCGCACACACAAGTCCTCAACTCACAAAGGACATGTTACCTTTCCTTACATTTAATGATGTTAATTACAAGTGAAACTTTGCCCAATCTGCTGACCGAAGGTCCGACTTTGCCTCAGTTTTACTAAAGGTGATGTTTCTGAGAATAACGATTCTCAGTTCTAGAGGACTGTTTCCCTGTTTTATTCTTTCTCCCTCCATTCGCCCCCTTCTATCCCTTCCCCAGATATACCTTTTCCAGTTTCATATACCCTCTTCCTGCAATCCTTGCTGGTTCTTTTCCCTGAAGAGGTCAAACAGAGCTCTTAACAAGGCATACAGTAAGCTTCATTAATAGGGACATTGAGCAGGGAGATTAATCTGAATTTATTAAATGAACTGGTTAAATCTGCAGTGTTGTGTACAGTTCACATTATAGGAAGGATGTGATGGAAAGAGTGCAGAAGGGGTTGATGAGAGTGGTCCCAGGGATTAGCCACAAGGACAGATTGGAGAAGTTGGGACTGTTTTGCTCGGAGAGAAGAGGGCTAGGAGGAGGTGTTGTAGATGTGTTCAGCATCATGGGAGGTGGGTGAATCTGGACTGGGTGGATGGGGACAGTCTGTTTCCACTTGTGGATGGTTTTGGGAACTGGAGACCACAGTTTTAAACTGATTTGCAAAGGAAGCAGTTGAAAGGTGAGAAGGAACTTTCTCACACAGTGAGTGGTCTGGGTTTGAAATGCGTTGCCTTCGAGTGTGGTGGAGGCAGTTCAGTTGAGGCATTAAGGACATGGGATGGTTATTTGAACAGAAACAGCGTGCAGGGTTACAGAATAAAGGCAGGAGACTGGCACGAAGTTCAAATGCTCAGAGAGGTGGCGCAGACACGGTGGGCTGAATGGCCCCCTACTACACCGTAACATTTCTGTGAAATCTTACCTAGCGCTAGAAATGAAAACAAGAACTGCAGACGCTGGAGGTCTGAAGCAAATAAAAACCAGAAATTGCTGGAGAAACCCAGCAAGTCGGGCAGCATCTGCTGAGTTTCTCCAGCAATTTCTGTCTTGTCCTTGGTTGTTCCACATTGCAACCCCTGCATAGGGAGGGACCTGCCGATCTCTGGGTGCCAAGCTGTGACCAATTGTCTCTCTCCAATGGAGAAAGAGACCTGTGGGTACTTTTTGTACACGATGGATAATTTCCTAAAAAAATGCCCCTCCCCTGCAGGTACTTTAGGGCTGTCCAAATCCCTTCTTCAGCATTCCTGTATTTGGGATTAAGACAATTTGATTAGGGGCATTCAATGACGAACAATTACAAACATCCTTCTTGAAGTCATGATTTGGTCAAATAACATAAATCATACAAATGCATATAAATAATACAAATGCATATAAATAATACAAATGCATATAAATCATACCAATGCATGTAAATCATACAAATGCATATAAATCGTACAAATGCATATAAATCATACAAATGCATATAAATAATACAAATGCATATAAATCATACAAATGCATATAAATCATACCAATGCATGTAAATCATACAAATGCATATAAATCGTACAAATGCATATAAATCATACAACTGCATCCCACAAGGAGTCCAGTATTGAACATGACTGGTGCTGGGGCTTGTGTCAAAGTCAGAAAGCTGCAAGATCCCAGTTTAAGACATGTGTTATTTCCCCTTATTCCCAATGAGAAGTTGCTCAGCATTCTGTTGAGGATGTGTTACTTAACAACTTCCCTTTACGTAGCACCCTTAATTTAGAAGAACAGGCCAGGGTGTTTCACAGGAATATAATCAGGCAACAACATGACAACAAAGCCACATGAGGAGATAGTAGGATAAGCGTCTATTCGGTCAGATGGGCAGATTGTCGGAAGAGTTTGAAAGAGGAGTTGAGAAGCATCGCAGTTTAGGGAAGGGATTCCAGTCAAGTAGGGCAGCAGCTTGCTGAGAGCACAGACGCCAACGGTAGAGGAATTAAAGTCAAGGATTGAGACTGGAATGCAGAGCAGAAGGTTGGAGGAGATTATAGAGGTTGGAGGGGACTGAGACCATCGAGGGACTTGAAAAGAAGGACGCACATTTTAAAATCGGAGCATTAACAGATTTGGAACTAGTGTTGATCAGCGAGATCAAGGATGGTGGGTGATCCAGTGTGAGTTAGGACACAGGGAGATGAGTTTTGGATGAGCTGAAGTTCATAGAGAGTGGGAGATGAGAGGTCAGCCAGAAGGCAGTTGGAGTGGACATTTTTGGAGGTGCTAAACACATCAACAGTGCTTAAAAAGGAGACCTGTTGCTAGCCTCAAAACCAGCTGGAAGGCCAGGGAGAAGAGACATCGATGGCGGACATTTAGCAGCGGGAGAAGCCGTCAGCAAATGTGTCAGAGCCACAGAGTAGAGAGTCAATCAGTTTCTCTTCATTACATGAGAGCAGGGGACTCCAGTATTCCTCTAAAAGATTATTGGAACAGTGAAGAGTTCCAATTAGAGTTATTTTAAAAAGCGACAAGTAATCAAAACACTTCAAACATCTTAAAATGGTATGTTATAAATGGTAAGTTTTACCTAATGAAAACTGCGTTATTTAAAGGCTATTCAGGACACAGGCAGATCTTCATAAATAAAGTCTGGAGAGATGCAGAATGTTTTAATAAAGCCCTTGAATTTCTGACACAGATAAGGAAAGGAATAAGTTGGCAGTGGGTTTAAAACCAACATCTGTCATTTGGGGGTTTAAAACTTTAAGCAGAATGCCGATAGCTTAAGGACAGGCCCAATTGAAGTGTCTTTCACTCATTCCCATTTTTCTCCTTTCAGTTAAGAGAAGCTCTGCTTTGTCAGTCAAAAGTAAATGTAACCAGTAAATGTCAGTGATACACACACGGACAAGCCATGCGATAAAAGGCTCCGCTAGATGCTGAGCGAATGTGTACTGAGAGTTGGGGATACCACTCAACAATTGTTCTTCTTCCATCAACAGTAGTTCATTGCATAGAGCATTGGTCTCTGGGTCAGAGGTTATGGGTTCTCACTTCAGAGACTTGTGCATAAAAATCTAGATGGACACGCTTGCTACAGGACTGAGGGCACGTTGCACTGTCAGAGGGACTGTCTTTCGGATGAGATGTTAAGCAGAAGTTCTGCTTTGTTTTATTCACTCGAGGGATGTGGACATCACTGACTGTACTGGCATTTACTGCCCGTCCCTAGTTGCCCCTGGAGAAAGTGGTGGTGAGCTGCCTCTTGAACCGTTGCTGTCCACGTGCTGTAGATTTTGACCCAGCAACAGTGAAGGAACGGCAATATATTTCCAAGTCAGGATGGTGAGTGGCTTGAAGGGGAATTTGAAGGTGGTGATGGTGTTCCCGTGTATTTGCTGCCCTGCAGCGAGTAACTCACCTCCTGACTGCCCAAAGCCTGTCCACCATCTACAAGGCACAAGTCAGGAGTGTGATGGAATACTCCCCACTTGCCTG